ATTTCTCCTTTGAATTCGTTAATGTATGCCATTGTCCAGACCTATAAATGTATACGTGTTATAAAGCTGTTTTAGAGTGTGATGTTGTGATGTGAAAGAGGCTATGTCATGTTGTGTTTAAATAAGTGTGTTATGATGTATAAACGACATTGGAAGTCAAGTCGAATGCATGTTTAGTCTCCAGACAAAGAAAATGAATTGATATGTTTCTCATTTGTTTTACGTACATGTTCACATTTGTAAAATGTCTATGGAATTAATGCATTCAGGTGACTTCTAATCTAGAGGAAGACGTGCAAAAATAAATTCCAAATAACTACTCACCGAGAGTTTTACAATAACATTTTATTAACAAAAGAAAATGAAACATTTATCAGATTTACTTTATCACAATCGAGAAATCCTTCAGACTATTCTCACTCGCTATCACATTAATAATAATGATGATAAGATAGATAATATTCCAATTTGTTTCATGTTAATGACCGTAGCGACTGAACAACTGATCTGAGTACATGATGACATGACCGTACGGAGACATTGTTCAAGGTTTACTTGCCGAAATATACGCTATAATATTTCAATCTCTATCGTTTGTTCTTTAAAGCCCGCCGTTTTGTTAACACTAGAGTTTATGTACGTCTGAAAAAGTCAGTACTACAAAGCTTCTGAACTGAATTATTTACTCAAGAAACTTATCGGCTACTTTTTGCTAAAGTATAAAGCCTCTACCAGATTATTTATAAGTAAACTGCTCCATGTACTGTGGAATAAACAATAGGTAAATTCACGGTGCTGTAGGTAAACATGGATGTGGTTCAAATTTCAGTCGAGACACATTTCATTTATTGATTCTTTTTCATTTTGTTTCATTTTTTCATAAAAAAAAATTAAATACAATAATGTAAATATTCATCATCGGTTACCTTGTAATAATAAGGATCATATCGAAAAAAATTTCAGAATGAAATTTATCAGGTTATTTTTAGGATATCTCTTGAGAAGATATTTATAGTTAACACAGATATTAAATGAAACCATTTGCGAGCTTTCGAAAATGCGTTTCGCTGAGCCTTCAAGACAGTTCAGTAGCGAGAGTGACTTAAGCACGAATACACTCTTAAAATAGCATTTCGGTAGAGAGCATCGTTATGAGTAGGAGTGTATTCTTAACACAACATCCTTTGCTTGCAGGGATGTCATTTACCAGGAATAGCATAGGGCAGCAACGGGAAGTCCTATATCTCCTGTTGTTGCTTATTGTCTGGATCTGAGAGCCATCATCTGCTTTGATCTAGTGTCCCCACAACCTATGGAAAAGTTTTGCTGTTTATATTTTGGAAAAAAAGTTTAGAAATGTCAGGTAGACAACCTTACATCTCATGACAAAGACTCCATAACATGTAATGAAGAAGAAGAAGAAGAAGAAGAAGAAGAAGAAGAAGAAGAAGAAGAAGAAGAAGAAGGAGGAGGAGGAGGAGGAGGAGGAGGAGGATGAGAAGGAGGAGGAGGAAGAGGAGGAGAAGGCGGAGGAGAAGGAAGAGAAGAAGAAGAAGAAGAAGAAGAAGAAGAGGAAGAAGAAGAAGAAGAAGAAGATAGAAAGATTTCCTTCCTGAATACCATGAGGTATGAGGTGGTATGCACTGTCCTGGACCGATGCAATAACATCAGAACTGAGCAAAAAGCCATGAGAAATGAGACGCTGCCTCTCCCAATATATAATCCAGAATGGTCTATAGAAAAGGTCGAGGAAGAAATGGAAATGAAGAGCAAGTAAGATAACAAATGGAAACACAGAGACAACAATTCAGAGGGAAGATCGGTACAACCATGTGACCACAAAACACCATATCAGCGGCGCAAGATTCGCGTCACATCTCAAAGACAATAAAAGAGACGTAGTTGTAGTTACAATGGAAAAAAGATCTATGCACTAAAACCTCCTGGAACACATTTCAGAAAAAGAACACAATAAATCACCCATCACAGACAATCAGTTACTATATCACTGACTGTAACTGGGAATTGAAATAGATGAAATAATCCAACAAGTAAGGGGATGATACAAAGATGTACAGAGGTTGGTTGGTTGGGAGGGGAGATGCATTTTTACCCATTTTAACTTCTACATATCCAACAAGGAGTCAATACTATACTACAATACTTCTATTACAATAGAAGGTGTGCTATTGTGATGAAAATACGTCACGACAATTTTACGTTGGACTTTTGGCTGTTCACCGAATAGAGAACTATCGTCTTCACTCGTTCGGTAAATGAAAGGGATGTTTTCGAAAACCCGCAAATTTAGATTGTGTTAAAGATAAGCAACTTCTATAAATAGAAAAAAAATACATTTGTAATGTATCCACAGTATTGTGTGATTGTCTATATAACAATCTTATCATTTACAGATTCATATAGCCGTGAGTGACCGTTATTATATTTTATGTTGTTCTCAAGGCATGTAGTGTTAACATACATAAAATACTGACAAAGCGACTTCATGGTACGGAGTAGTGCGTAAGCCTAACAAATATAGTCAAAGATTCGGATACCGAAAGCGGTACGATGTAGTTTTATCGCTGCATAACTTTGTCTGCGCAAGTGTACGATGTAGTACGTTATCTGTTCGATGGTTTGTGAAATGACTTTTGAAATGCAGAAATGAATCTATAAGCAGTATACCTGTAAAGTACCAGCATACAACTACACACACACACACACACACACACACACACACACACACCCTCACACACACACATCAACCAACTCACACACATCACGCACGCATGCACACACACACGCACACACGCACACACACACAAAGTACAAAAATCTACGTGGTAAATAGCCTGAGTAGAACAGCTCCGGAACTTAGCTGATGGTGTGGAATATATATAAATATATAGTATCCTTAGTACGTTTAGCGAAATTCATGTCTATATTGAAAGGTTATCAACGACAGTTGAAAATACGTAACCACCACATCATGGTTCAACTTTTTCTATGAAAGTTATATAATCTATCGGGTAAGAATGGGTTGGATAGTAAACATTTCTGGAAAAATATTTGAAGTTTGAAATTACTTTAATCACAGTTCAACTTGAAATCTCGATTACGAAAGAATCTTATCAAATCACATTTCATGAAAAAAAACCATCATATGATGGTGTAACTCCGTATAATGGTATATATATGTATATAATGGTTTGACCTATTTACCATATGTTTAATCTGATAACTGTCCAGCATAGAACGAGAGTTCGCATTGAAGGACGATCTAACACCACTGTTGGATAATTTCATGTAAGTTTCTCACTATATGATTGGCATCACCAGGATGTTACATTACCCATCAATTATATAACATTAATCCATTGTTGGATCACATTGTACGCCATTGCAAACGATGGTGTAACCATGGGAACACCCACATTATGTTTTACCGCGGTTTAAACCCATATCCACTCTACCATATCAAAATTAAAAATATGTTTATCTACAATATATATCCACAGATATGAAAATATAGGTCACTGATCAAAGTTTCAATACACTGTATGGTATAATCATCCAATGTTAGGATATTCCTCCATTGTTTGATAACATTATCGGTGTTTAATGATTTTCCCTCCAATGTGTAATAATATTATCCGGTGTTAAATGGTTTTCTTTCAGTGTATAGTAATGTATAATGATATTATCCAATGTTTAATGGTTTTTCCTCAAATGTATAATGATATCATCCAATGTTTGATGGTGTTTCCTCCAGTGTATAATGATATCATCCAATGTTTGATGGTGTTTCCTCTAGTGTATAATGATATCATCCAATGTTTAATGGTTTTTCCTCCAATGTATAATGATATCATCCAATGTTTGATGGTGTTTCCTCCAGTGTATAATGATATCATCCAATGTTTAATGGTTTTTCCTCCAGTGTATAATGATATCATCCAATGTTTGATGGTGTTTCCTCCAGTGTATAATGATATCATCCAATGTTTGATGGTGTTTCCTCCAGTGTATAATGATATCATCCAATGTTTGATGGTGTTTCCTCCAGTGTATAATGATATTATCCAATGTTTAATGGCTTTTCCTCCAATGTATCATTATATTATCCAATGTTTAATGGTTTTTCCTCCAATGTATATTAATATCATCCAATGTTTAATGGTTTTTCCTCCAATGTATATTGATATTATCCAATGTTTAACGGTTTTCCTGCAATGTTTAATGATATCCCTCCAATGAATGACAGTATTTCCTATATTAAATGACTTCTCAAGGGTATGATAGTATTAACCGGTGTTTAATGGGTGTCCTCCAGTTTATAGTAATTTTATCCAATGTTTAATGGTATCCCTCGAATGTTTGATAGTATTATCGGTGTTTTATGGTTTTTCTTCCAGTGTATGGTAGTATCATCCAATGTTTGATGGTTTTTCCTCCAATGCATATAATATTATCCGGTGTTAAATAGTTTTCGTTCAATGAATGGCATATTTCCGGTGTTGATCTCTGGTAAGGGCATCCATTAATTAATGGTTCAAATCCCATGTATCACAATTACTGTTATCTTATGATGGTATAATTTTACAAAGATACAATAAATACTATCACTTTATAATAATCCACACTGAGAAAAACAGAATTTCAAATACACTACGAAAGCCTGTAGTTGTATAAAGTATGACACCCTGTACAAACCCTCTATCATAGTTTGAACAGATAACCTCAGTCTAAACGTTCTCCATGACAGTCTGTAACAGACTACTACAGACTATTAACTCTCTATAACAGCCTGTAATAGACTACCACAGCCTATACATTCTCTATGACAGCCTATAACAGACTACCACAGCCTATACATTCTCTATGACAGCCTGTAACAGACTACCACATCCTAAACACTCTCTATGGCAGCCTGTAACAGACTACCACAGCCTTAACACTCTCTATGATAGCCTGTAACAGACTACCACAGCCTATACATTCTATATGACAGCCTGTAACATACTACCTAAGCCTATCAACTCTCTATGACAGCCTGTAACAGACTACCACAGCCTATACATTCTCTATGACAGCCTGTTACTGACTGCCACAGCCTTAACACTCTCTAGATAGCCTGTAACAGACTACCACAGCCTTAACACTCTCTAGACAGCCTGTAACAGACTACCACAGCATATAAACTCTCTATGACAGCCTGTAACAGACAACCACAGCCTTAACACTCTCTAGACAGCCTGTAGCAGACTACCACAGCCTATAGTGCAGTTTCGTTAACTGATTTATGACTACAAGCATTAACATTTGTCCTTGAGCAATAAATATGCTGACTGTGATCAGAAACGTTGGACGTATTGGAGTTTGACCGTCGGCACACCATTCTGAACACAATGTTACGGAATTTTTGACCGGTAGCACAATACAGAAAAAAATTAATGGAATGATTCAGGTACATTAGCAACTCAGCGATTGTTCTCACTAACCAGCACTTGGCCAACAGGGCGGCGTCATATTTGAAGTCCTCCTGCCAGACGCGAGTCACAATCATGACAATATTCATCGGTATCGTAGTTATTAGAAAAGTAAACGATATCGTCAATAACATGACTGTTAGCTTCGTATTGCCGTCTTTCGTACAACGCCGGCTCTCAGATTTCATCAGAGAGCCATTTTGTAACTCATCCCGACCATACGTGGCTTTTATAACCTGCCGAATTATCATAATATTTAACATGACGATGATTAGTGTAGGCGAGAAAGAATAAAGCAAGGCATCTATCCATGGCCAAATGTCATTCACCAGGCGTCCGTGTGATAAGGCACCTTCACACTTATACACAACGTGGTCATTATAAATTTCTTCGTTTAAATCTACCGTCCATAATAAATGAATATTGATAGTGAGGAATAGCAATGCGAGTAGACACACGACTTTCCTTGCTCTGGGAATGTTACAAAAGTACGAGGCCCTCAATGGATGACATACTACTATGTACCGTTCTACGGTAACTGCCACTATTAACCATACTGAATACTGACTTGTACTGTAGCCAAGTACCGTGATCAGTTTACACAACAAACGTGATTCTGTTTGTAAATCGATTTGAGTTATCTCCCCTAACCAATTCCGGAATAACCCGATCAGTAAAACAAACGAATCTGCTACCGACAAAGCAGCAAGGAATGTATTGGTTGACATCCGGTTCATCGTTTTGTGCCGAAGAATTAGAAATGACATGACATTACCTACAGTTCCAAGAAAGAGTATTACTGGAGGCATGTACATTGCCATTATGGTATGTATACGATACTCCTTATAACTTTTCAAGTCATCCGTGCTCACGGCTTTCTGAGGCTCAGTTATGATGCCGGCTAACTGCAAGTAGTCCAGAATTTGTTCACTGGTGAGATCCTCATCCGGTATGGACACATTGTTGCTATCGAGGAACTGGTGAAGAATTGCTAATACAACGGAGATGTTAGAGTTATATATATCCACCCTCTCGTCCATTTAGGCATCTGAAACTGAAGACGTATATCAAACATTATTGACGTGGAAAGAGTAGTGCGACAAAAGTAGAACTGTAATAAAGAAATTAATGTATTAAAAAACACCTGCAGAATGTGGTCAATTCCATTATAATAGTAGAAATGTAGTAAAGAAGTCGCACAGAAAAAAATATTGTTTCGGTAAACATGACAAATAATGACACATTTTGTAACTTAACGTCAACTAGTACAGTGTATGACGTACTGTTACAAATCAGTTTTCATACTCACGTACCCTCACGTGTATGTAACGTGCATTACCGACCAATTAGAGTCTCATGTTACACATTAATAACATCAATATTTAATCACTAAATCTATGCATGTTGCTATGTAAAAGTTACCGAAGAGTTGGAAGAAACACCAGGGCGTGAGACGATATTTGTAATACCAGAAAAAGATGAATAAAAACGGCTAGTATCATTATTTTCTCTGAAAGCCTGGTAATTATACAAGAGATGACAATGGAGAAAGAACTGAAGTTATCAAGTTATATAAAGAGGGTATTGTATTATTATTTTGATATTACAGCCTACCTTGGGCTGGTAACTCGGTCTCATAAAGAGTTTGATATAATCATAATCCCCATACGTTACGATATAGGAAACAAATATAGCAAGTTAAAAACAATCTAGATTTTAAAAAAAGGAAGAAAAAAATTATCAACTTAATTCAAGATCTATTAGATGTTGTCTGTGACGTAAATTGGAAAACAAATGGCCAAACCCAAGAATATGGGATGGAGTGACATAGGAGTTGGCGAATAGATATGACAACGCAAACAGCTCCTGTATCATATTGGAAAACAAACTAAAACTAAAATAGACATAATTAAATATAACACACAAAAACAGAACACATATGAAGTTATCCGATAGCGGTATGTCAAGTCAACAAGGTAAAAGACATTCTACACAAGGCATGCGGTCGTTTAAAATTATGAAATACGTAGATGATATTCCTTCAATAAATATGGTATTTCTAGTCAGTAACGCTCATTTCAATCTCAAAGCGAGGACTTGTCACATGTTCATTATCCTTACGGTCAGTGTGTGTTTACTAAAACTAACAAGGATCTCTCAGAAAAGGAACAGAATTTGCTTCAACTATCTCGTTATAGACAGATCATGAGCTGTTACCTTATACTGCATTTACTCAAAGTAAAACAGGCTTTATAATTCGTGAAAGTTTCCTCTCTTGTATCCATAAGATTGTTACTTACTACGTTGTCGTCTAGGAAATCGCCATTAATATGAAAAATACGCTGTGTCTGTGGAATATATTTCCTTTAGTTACAAACAGTACGAGAAATATTCCCTATTTCTGTAAAATAACTTTCCTTCTGTTGATGTTCCAGTACTCGATGAAGATCTCACTGAATGGTTTACATTTAATGCACTCAATTTGAATTGTTTTACGACAGTAATGATGAAGCGACGAAGCTGTAGAATCAAGCTCTTCGTGGTAGATATGCAACTGTGAAATCAATGACCAGATGTAATCCCCACGGCCATCACAGCTGTAGTGACTGTCGCTAATTAATCAATTTCACCTTGACCGTTGGAATATTAGAGTGCGCTATCACCACAAGGAATATCGGTTTACATCTCCAAAATAATAATCTCCTTCTTTGTCCTATTCACAAGTATTTGTTATAGTATAACTCATTACTACACGTCAGCGTAAATGCTAAATCATGGAAAGTAATGACAGCTAAAATCAAGGTTATACGAACATCAGAGCCAGAAATTCTGAAGTGTGAAGAATTATCGCCTCGACACTCGTTACTTCGCATAGTCAAAAAGAGCAAAGCAATCTGGACAATCCTTTTAATGTACAAGCTGATATTTTCAAGAATCTTCTAGCTATTTAAAAGTATTTTTGAGGAAGGGATAAAACCAATAACAAAAAAACAGGACAGTGTCCTTTCATAACAAATTAAACATCCCTTTCACTTCAAGTTTTTTTTGTGTGTAAATCACGAAAATCACATCAATTAAAGAATCTTCAGATTATTGTATGAGGCTGTCCATAAACTGCGAGTTTAATAAGCAGGTAAAACTGGTAGACTAGTATGTTAACTAATTAGGCTGAAAGTATAAATTTGAAGTCTCCGTAACATGATCAATAGAATATAATTAAGCTCCTCCCGAGATTAAGCGCACTCAATACTCATCTGTGACGTGATAAAAGTTATTTCATCGGAAGAGTACATCTTTTACACCTGTTTAGTGAATTACCAGTAAAACGTCCTTGTTATTTCTGGTAACGTATTCCTATAATTCTCCAATGAATTGAAATTTAGTTTCTCTTGCAGTTGAAAAGATACTTTGAAAAGACCTCGAAGATCAAATTGTTAATTGAAAATATCGACTTGTCAATGAAACGAAATAAGATCGAAAGAGTACAAGGATATAAAGATCTGGGCCCGTATTCATGAAAACGTTCTCAAGCTCAAGCATGAGTTTTGTCAAATATAAATATTGAATACAGCATTTGGCTTGAAGTCCTTTCAAAATATTTTCAAATCTTTGATAAAATCAGCCGTTTTTATTCATTTTTAACCAAAGAAAGATATACAACTTGAGCACAAAATTCATGCCTGAGCATGAGAACGGTTTCATGAATACGGGCCCAGGTGTTTCTCAGGATTATTGTCTGTTGTTTCATCGACAATCCACCATGTCAATAGATTGTCTCAAGAATCCTGTAGTTGCTTATCAATATTTGTGAAACAGTGATATAGCAGGTCGTTTATTTCTCAAATGTGTTTAATGATTTACTAACTAAATTGACAAAGTGTTTCACGTGAGTATAACATCTGGTTCTTAACTTAGCATTTAGAGAACGATTTCTTCAACTGGCGGAACAATAGTAATGATGCTTTGCCACAGAAAATAGCAACATGTCAACATAATTTGAAACCGATTTCAAAGTCAGTTTCAATTAAACTAAGGCAAAAGATTTAAACGAAGAATCCTGGAAAAGTAAAAGGAGAATAAGACCATGTGTTCCGGAAGAGTAAGCGTCTTATGGTTCATCGACGATAATCGCCCTGTAAATCTTGGTAAATCCTAGTAAGTCTCGTGTTCCGGAAGAGTAAGCGTCTGATGGTTCATCGACGATAATCGCCATGTAAATCTTGGTAAATCCTAGTAAGTCATGTCAGCGGTTAAACTAAAAGGGAGAACACTTCCGACTTCAACGTTAACATATTATGTCAGAAGTAAGAGATCGATGCAGAAAGCGAATCAAAAGAACATGTTCAATTTTACTTTCATGAAATCCTGTTCATAGATGGATTGTTTGTATAATGGATATTGTAGAGAAACGGAATCAATGTATGAACAAAATGAAAGGAAGATTCACTCGAAAGCTATTGAAATCACGTTTGTAGATAATGAGATCAGGTAAGCCGGAGATGTAAAATTTTCCTCATACCCTACATGTAATTCGTGTCAAAATATAATGAGAAATGTTGGTGACAACAAAATCAACAGACATACTAACGAACATCAAATACTTCATAACACACAGCGAAACCATCATAATGGCGACTTCAACACCTTCATGTACAATATGCATCTTTAGAAAGTCACGGCTGGTCTAAATATACTTTTGAAATAGAACAGTTTATAAGAAAGTTTAATTTACGTCACAATATTACAAGTTAGTTATGATAAGTAGTTAGAAAGAACTAGTTAAAAATCATGTGTTGAATGTCTCCCTTCACCTCAACATCACAATAATGGGGAAAACGAATATTGAATCAACTGCGACATGCATTATCCATTAGTTTAGAAAACATGATTACTAGTGTATAGAAAATGAAATCACACTTGACGTGCAGTTAAGTGAAAAGCGGCACCAATAGATGTACTGCTAGTATATATATATATATATCTAGTTTAGTGGCTGATGTTTAAGAGCCTTCCATGCCCTGATGTTATGTTAACATACAACCGTTGTCCGTATAGTTGATCAATAACTTTAAATCTTTTTTGCGGTTATAAGAGCACAAAAAAGTTAACCAATGTATTTATCAAGACAGTCTTTGTCTTAAAGGGAGAGAATTGTATAAACAGGGCCTACTGTAATATCAAAAGTGTTCCTTTGCAATTTATTTTCATTTAATTCATTCGTATACTAAATTCACAAATTTATATGTCCATGAAATGATAAGCAGATAAAAGCTGACATGGATTATGGGACTAGTGTATTTCAAGAGCATGATCTTAACACAGAATCAAGTGCTAACAAAATGTGTATTTTCCAAAACCCACGAAATTTGACCCTCAGGAAAAATATAAGATTTAATAGTATTATGTTCCTACGGCTAGGATTTCCGTATCTATAGAGTAGAGTTGTCTGGGATGTTTGATGTACATGTAAGCCTTTATATATTATAAAGTTAATACCTATATTTACCCAAATAGAGCTGAAATTGATTCAAGTGTTAATCCTAGTTATCAACATCTACACCAACTCTGTGAATTATAAAACTGTCACTTTGCAATTTATCGGTAAAGTGGACATAGTGGTGGTTAATCTCTTTCCTCGGGGTTATGCTTGGTAGTTAATATTAAGCCTGATAAATTGAAATGTATTGATAATGTTGCATAAATATATCAAATCATTCTTAATAATACATTAGAATCTATTAATTATCATTCACAGTTTTTACTTCTGACTGACCTGAGGGAAATAATATTTTCTCACAAATATTCGATGTAAATACAATGAAAAAAAAAACCGTCAAAAGCACATTGACAACTACGTAAGTTCATTTCACGTCTCCATCAGCAACGTTACGTTACACTAAGAATTTATCATATAAACAGTTTCTACAGTAATAATGATACTGAAATAAACAAGCTCTTTTTACAGCATTATGCAGAACACTAACCTCTTAATTACTATGACGTCACAAAAAGAAAAACTCTTGTTGACATCACACAACGGTATTATACAAGTTACTTTATATTCTCGATCTATTTATAACTTTTCTCCTTATCACTGACTGAAATTGTGCAAGTTTATAACGCTGTCAAACGACATTTATATAAGCGTATTATGTTGGTTTTTATTTCGAACACCGGTTTCACCGAAATACTTCCCACTTATCTTTCTCTTGCTTTGTCAACAATTGGATATTATTTTTATCAGTTACTCTAAATTTGATTGTATTATCCACAGCTGTGACCTATCTAGGCGTCACCTTTATATAATGACTAAAAAGCTGCAAATGAAACTGTATTGTTATATTATCGATAATTTTATATCATAATAAATTAACAAAGCCTGCGTAATACGATATAACGGATGTAAAAGACGTGGAAATAGAAACACGTCACATACACACAATAAAGAGGTAAGTTATCGAACGTTTTTAATTGCATGAACACATTGAACATAATTTGACTCGTGACACACCTTGTTATGAAGTGTATCTCTCTTGCTGGTGTCATTTCAAGCCCTTATTACAGGATGTGTGTTTATCTCTCTTTTTATGAATCGTTTTTTTATGCAAATACCGTATGTTGCCTCCTTCGTCCGACATTGATTATGGGAACTCCCTCGATTTTATTTGCCTGCTAATGTACTTAAGACTTAACACTTTATGTATTTTATTAATGTGTTTGTTATTCAGAGAATTGATGTCCTCCCTGACTGTCATCATTATCAATCAGTCCGACTGGTGATCAAATATAGAATAGAAGGAAAATAAAAGACCAGTTAGCGTGTCTCAATTTGTTTTATAAATAACTTTGGATAAGTATTGTATTATGTAAATAGAAAAACAAAAATCAATTAACAGCGCGAGAGTATCTGCATGAGAGACCCAGTCAGTACAGGGGGTAACACTATCTTCATCCAATCAATTTTACACTAAATCAGAAAAATGTGAACATTGTGTTGCTGAAAATCATTTGTCATGGTGTAATTAGTACGTGAAAGAAGAGAGAGCAAATAATGTTCCAAACTTGACCGATTTTTCTTTCTCCGCAGATTTGATATTTGACATGTTTATTCTAAGTTGTTTTGACAGCATTAGACACCAGGGAACAGCTACTTAAAGTTGATATTGATGAAGTCTGATCGGTTATATCAGATATCTAGCACTTTCTTATTAAGTACACACATTACCAAATGTCAACATAGAGACATGCATTACCAATGATGTCCCTTTGCATACTTTGAGGCAGATCAATCGAGCAGCTGTATAGGAAGTATAGACAATGTTTTAAGTGCTTATCACATGAAATTGAAATAAACCAGACATTGACAACATTCTCATATCATTTCTCGGGGAAAATACTGACCAGCAACACTTCAGCTTACGACAATAGCATCAGAAGAGGACATCAACTACCTAATAGTTTAGGGACTATTCTTCTAGTGTAAGTTTTAAAATGTAACACAAACACAAAAGATTGCATATTCAGACTTTGCTCCATACCAGCTGAATGGCCACAACCATTAAACTGGTTAAAAAAATAATTGCAAAAGTATCACATAACATAACTAAGCTCTCATAATTGCACTAACAGCCAATACAACAAAGTTCTTTTTCACACACATGTGATATGACTTATCAGAGTTTTGACTGGTTGAATATCATCTTTTATCCGATTCTATTGCGACATCACCAATGAAAGTGAAATGGAATAAGATAATGATAATTAAGATTTTATATTAATATAATAAAATGCTGCATCGAGGTGATGTGATAAACATTATGTATCATATTCGTTATCATTTCGTATGAAATTGATTAAACTTGCCATGACCATTTCATTTTGCAGAAGCTCTGTAAAATCAACAACTTCTTAAAACGTATAGGTTATCTTTATATAACAACGCCCCTAAACTTTAAACTAATTACCCAAAATCATGTGTATGTCACCACACACTAAAACTGGTACATTGAACAAATACCCATAATCGTGAAAGAGAAATTCATTTATGATACATATCATAGCGGCATTGTAGAATTTTAAAAAAAGTTTTATACGGCTCTGTTTTATAAAATGTGAAATAGAAACATAGGTAAGGCTCTCTATTTATCACACGACACTGATAACCTTCATGGTCGATTTTTGTGACGGAAAGAACATACAACATAGACTTTAAGCTAAGGCCATTGTCTTTGTAACGAGAGCGCTTGATTAAACATGAAAAGTGTTTGCCTTATGTGACGTCGTTTAATGTCTTGGTTAGTTCTCGATAACCGAGTTAAGTAGCGTTATAATTGTTTCTGTGTTTCAGTCCTGCCAGACAAGTTTCCGAGTGTATCCTTGTAACTGTTACGACGCCGTAAAACACTTGTATGAATCTCGCTGTTAATCTTTATTAACTTCAATCGTCAATATTTTACTCACCACGAGGAATAACAACCCTTTGTGCTGTCATGTGACTGTCACATTACTTTCTATTTCTTTCGGCACTTTATTCGTTATCAGAGTAATTAGAAGGATGTGTGGTGGTACCGGTTTGACAGAACGGCCATTGTGATAGTATATTGTCTTGACACGTCCCTATCCTCTACCTATCGCTGTGGTATCTCCAGTAAACACGGCTGTATAATAACAGGAATGTCGGTTTGTGGTTTGATGACTGACGGTAATGGGACAGGAAAAAATTGTTTTCCAACGACAGCAAGTAGTAATTGTTTAATAAAGTCTCTACGTATTTCTTGAGTTTGTTGATTTTTTCATTGATCCCCATATAGAGTGATGTCTATGTTTAAACGTCGATTCTATAAATTAGGAGATATGGTCTGGGCGGGCTCAGTGTCGCGATTCATAAAGCGTCAATATTCAATTTGAAATATTTTAAGGTCATATAAATTATTTGATTCCTGTCTCATGCTGCTTCCAAGCATTGTAATAAATAGTATACTTACAGAACGAGCACTTGTAGGAGAAATACATTGTATTAAGTGACTTCTTGATAGTCATATTCGATTACTCCGTTTTAAGGTTCATCGGGGTTTGTCTAAGGTCTTCAGGCCCCCTTGGACTGCAAGATAAAAAGTTTCAAAGAAAATTAATGCAAAATGTATAAATTTCAATCTAATCCTAACAGTAGCTCGACCGCAGATATTTCACGACCGTACTAAAACAAAAAAAAAACATAGATTCCATGAATCTGGGGATATCCTGCATTAGATGTTGTACATTAAAGTGAACTCTGCGTGCGCGAGCATGACCTTTCAAACGTCCTGTTTTCTGAAACAATAGCTAGACGTATTAATCAATCGTGAAATGTTTCTAGTTAATCAACTGCAATGAATCGAAACACATTTTCTGCACCATTTGTTATCACAAACTACATCCTTATTGTTAGGATTTTGTTTAACTTTGTTAAGATGTCATTTCCGTTAAAGAAAATATCACGCAACCATCAAGGTTAGGTCCTAGAAAGGGACTATTGTGATACAGTCAGTTAAAGGTGGCTTCGTCTAATCCGTCAGGGGACAATTCAAATAAAGGTATTGTGGAGACACACGCCGTCAAAGGCATTAATTGGTAGGTGTTGAAATCTGACAAGGATAATATCAACAGAAATTCTTTTCTTTTTTCGTATCAATTTGACAGATTATAATGGAAAAAAGTCATCACACCAGCTATTCTTATTTAGGCCTTGTATTTCGCGGGGAAATGGGATGAAGGTGACTTCTTCAGTGTAAAGTATAAATTGAATTGCTACCATTTATCTTTAGATAGGCTGGATAGCTGTCATGTAAATGTCATCCAATGTTGCCAACCTGAAACGTTTTTCTTGTATATAGAGAAGGTGACAAAAAGAATCGCATCAATACCGAAGTATTGATAATAAAAACACTATAACGTCAGCGAAAAGAAGGGTAAACACGCGCGAGACGAAATCCTGTCTCACCTCTGTTAGATCATACCACGAGATATGACGATGAAAAGAAAAATAAATTCTTTCACCTCATTAAGTAGGCGATGGTAGATGACCGCTCTGTTGTACGATCGGCGCGGGTCAAACAATTAGATTTCATATCGCGATGTCCACTTTGTAGATTGATGCTTTCCAAGTAGAAAACCCGTGATACACAATCAGTTGAGCTGTAATGACCGCCATTTTCTATGATAGTTATAGCATGGTGCGTAGATGCTGAGTATACAATACCCGTGGCTCTGTTAACAGCCTAGACATACCAATTTATCACATTATGGACACCAATCAAGGAAACACGAGTCAATATCAACTCACTGAAACGTCTCCAGTATTTTTTCATACAATAGTAAAACAGTATGCATGTAAACAAATCGCCCGGATTATCGATTGTAAATGTTGTATATTTTATTTAGCAGATAAGCTGACCATCCTCTCCGACTTGACTATTAGACACACTTTATAGAGAGAGAAACCGAATGAGATATTAGAGGTTAGATTTTTTCTAATTCATAATGGAACGTGTAAAGACGTAATAAAATCTTACTTTTTTAAAAGAATTTCTACGAACCTGTATAAAAGACACGAATCTTATCATTTCCGGTCAATTATGTATTTTCCTTGTTTATTCAGAAATTAAATAACCTTAACGATCACGACCACAGATAGAAACCAAATAAGGATTGTAATTAATTTGTTGAATAGACGTTATATTTGTCAGAGCGGTGCATTGATTCTCACAGGAAATGAGACACAATGGTTGAGACTTAGCATGTCAGAAGGATGTTATTATTAAAATATCTTGATTTGTTCACGCCGAGAAAATATTTCGTTTTCAATTATAATATGTCGGTATACAAAACGATAGCTTCGGTCGATTCATTGATGTACAAAGTTTCTTGGGCTGTGTTGCCTCTTCAATGGATTTCCTTTCGAACATTACATTACTGAAAAAAATCTGCCATACAACTTAATTTGAATGTTTTAAATCAATACATCCTTGCTCAAGTATGACTGAACAATGCGAGTTAGGGTAATATAATTTCCTGTCTTGACTGTGACAACGGGTCATTTCCTGTCTTGACTGTGACAACGCATCATTTCCTGTCTTGACTGTGACAGGGCTTCATTTCCTGTATTGGCTGTGGTAACGCGTCTTTTCTTGAATTGATTGTGGCAGGGCTTCATTTTCTGTATTGGCCGTATCAAGGCATCATTTCCTGTATTGGCCGTATCAAGGCATCATTTCCTGTATTGGCCGTATCAAGGCATCATTTCCTGTATTGGCCGTATCAAGGCATCATTTCCCGTATTGGCCGTATCAAGGCATCATTTCCCGTATTGGCCGTATCAAGACATCATTTCCCGTATTGGCCGTATCAATGCATCATTTCCTGTATTGGCCGTATCAAGGCATTCCTTCCTGTATTGGCCGTATCAATGCATCATTTCCTGTATTGGCCGTATCAAGGCATCATTTCCTGTATTGGCCGTATCAAGGCATTCCTTCCTGTATTGGCTATATCAAGGCATCATTTCCTGTATTGGCTATATCAAGGCATTCCTTCCTATATTGGCCGTATCAAGGCATCCCTTCCTGTATTTGCCGTATCAAGGCATCTCTTCCTGTATTGGCCGTATCAAGCCATCATTTCCCGTATTGGCTATATCAATGCATCATTTCCCGTATTGGCCGTATCAAGGCATCATTTCCTGTATTGGCCGTCTCAATGCATCCCTTCCTGTATTGGCCGTATCAAGGCATCATTTCCCGTATTGGCCGTATCAAGGCATTCCTTCGTGTATTGGCCGTATCAAGGCATCCCTTCCTGTATTTGCCGTATCAAGGCATCTCTTCCTGTATTGGCCGTATCAAGCCATCATTTCCCGTATTGGCTATATCAATGCATCATTTCCCGTATTGGCCGTATCATTTCCTGTATTGGCCGTATCAAGGCATCCCTTCCTGTATTGGCCGTATCAAGGCACCATTTCCCGTATTGGCCGTATCAAGGCATCCCTTCCTGTATTGGCCGTATCAAGGCACCATTTCCTGTATTGGCCGTATCAAGGCATCATTTCCCGTATTGGCCGTATCAAGGCACCATTTCCCGTATTGGCCGTATCAAGGCACCATTTCCCGTATTGGCCGTATCAAGGCATCCCTTCCTGTATTGGCCGTATCACGGCATCATTTCCTGTATTGGCCGTATCAAGGCACCATTTCCCGTATTGGCTGTATCAAGTCATTCCTTCGTGTATTGGCCGCAAGAATGCGTCGTTTTCTGCAATAATCAACTTAATTTACCATAGCCTTTCTATCTATATATAAAACTGATCACGATACTCTTTCTATCTACATAATTAATTAATACTATACCTTTTCTATCGGTATATGAAACTTAATACCGTATCCTTTCTGGCTAATCAAATTAAAGCCATACCCTTTTTATCTACTTAATACAATCCTTTCTATACAGAACCTAGTAATATCGACGGTGTGGTCCAATATTGGTACTGGATCCTAAGAAACAAATGTTTGTTGAATGCGTATTACTGGAATAGATACATGATCAAAGAAATAAAGACAGTACAGACAAGTTAAATGTCAAATTTTCGAGGCAATCTGATCCTTTATCAAGACACAGAACGGTAGTGTAAATTTAGGTTTCTCGCTAATCCTCGCTAAAACAACTTATGCTGTTGCATGAAAGATGGTTTCAAGTATTTTTAAAACTAAATTTCGGTACCTTTCTAAATATATACACCTTTCTACCACTACATAAAACTTACTCGAACAGAATTTAGTTGGACTGTCTGAATTGCAGGTGTCATTGTATTAATCATATATAATCCACATGCAGGTGGAAAATCGTCATTAATAAGTACGTTCAAAACACGTATTTCACACCTACAGATTTCATCTTTGATATAATTTTACATTCTTATTGAATTTCAATCCGCCCACGAGTAAATAATGAGTATTTTTCAATTTGAAATCAAAATAACAGATATTTTCTAAAATGTTTTTGTTTCAACGACAATAAATGATACCGAAACTCGCTTATCAATGTTTCATTTCTAACTTAATTTGAGATCTTTCGCTTAAATCAAAGTTGATCGGTAATGCCTATGTGTTGTTTTACCTCATAGTAACCAAGTACCAGATAGGGTCTACAATATGTAGGTAAGTAATTACCTATAAAGAACATTGTATTCAATGGACACTCTAGGTCAATGTTCTTACCAACACAGATTAATTGTATGAAGAACTCAATTTCAAATATAATGATATTCTGTCTGAATAACATATATACGTAAGTGTGTTGATTATATATAGTGAAAAAAACCTAATCTCCTACAAAACATGAATTATGTAGACCGTAGTCAATATTTTATATCATTTAATTAAATCTGCCTCGTGAATAGGGAAGTCTAATCAGACTCGAGTCGGTATCATATTAACATTACTCAACGTTCCTTTTATTAATTGTACCGTAAGAGATATTGATTAATTAAGCTTTGATAAGAATGTTTTTAGTTTCATATTAGCATGAAAGAAAAACCGATTTGCAGACTGAAGGAATGCGCAAAATGCATATAATGTTTCTTGGATACGGTTTAAATTTTTTAAAAAAATCCAGTAAATGTATAAATTTGATAATTTAATGATGGGTTATTTTCTAACAGATCGCCACGCTTGCCAATCTCTACCAGAGTTGTCGTTCTTTAACAGTCAGAGTTATTGGCAATCTCTACCAGAGTTGTCGTTCTTTAACAGTCAGAGTTATTGGCAATCTCTACCAGAGTTGTCGTTCCTTAACAGTCAGAGTTATTGGCAAACTGTACCAGAGTTTCTTGGCAGTAACAATACACCTATGTAAACGAGATACGAATTACGAATAAAGTAAGCTCGTGGTCGGGGTCAAAGTTAAATGGCGGGTAAAAAACGGGTTAAAAAACGGAGACAAACAAACACTTTTTGAATAGTTTTGTGCCAATATCG